CTCTCAAGTGAGCACAGTCAGTGTTTACTTTACCGTCTAGAGACACACACATCTTGAATTATCTCATATTTATATTGTGTTATATTGTTGCAAAGTGATAGTTAACTTAACACGTGAGTTGTTATTATTATACATTTATTTATTGTTATTTTATTGCACAGAATATAATTAAAAATGTTTGGTAATATTTCGGCAAAAAGTTATTATATTGTTCAATCCGTTTAATCTGTTGTAAATTGTTATAAAAAATCGATTTCCGGACAACAATAGTTGTTGGTGTCAATGTTAGACCCATTGGCTAAAATGTGATCGTATTAAACGTAAAGGTGAAAGGACTTGATTAGCTATGTTTCGGTGCTTTCGGAGTTCCAGTCCCGTAACCAGTTTCAGAATAGAGAGAAAAAAAAATAAGCGTCTTGTACAAGTTATGTTACGGTTTTTAAGTGAGTTATTTATTTAAGAAGTTAAAACAGTTCACTTGACTATCTTGCTGCAAATTATTATATCGTTGTGGTTTTCAAAGTGATTTCTGTTTTTTTAATTATTCTTTATAACTACTAGAAGTCTGGTCACAGGTCAGCTTTCTGTGGGGCATTGTGGCATGGCGTCTGTATCTTGTTTAACATGGGTTGTTAATTTATTTTAAACCGCAAAAACTCTGTTAAGTACATTGCCTTAGTCCAGCCCTGCGATTCTGTAACTCACTTTTCGTACTCACACAGCGGTTTCCGCATCGGCAGTCGCTCTCAAATCAGTCGTGAAGCAGTAATTTTATGATTTGGCATTCTGATAAACAATAAACTACAAGCTCCCACCTTTTATCAGAATGCCAAATCATAAAATTACTGCTTCACGACTGATTTGAGAGCGACCGCCGATGCGGAAACCGCTGTGTGAGTTCGAAAAGTGAGTTACAGAATCGCAGGGCTGTTGTTAATGCTGGCTAAATCCGCCTTCCAACCCCAAAATAATTAATTGTTTCTCAGGGAATTGTTGTTGTTAACATAGCTATGAAGGCTGTTTAAAAAATAGTTTGAACCTTGAATGTTAACATCTACTTCTTATGCTAATCATACTAAGCGCTATTGTGTCTTTGGAAACATTTACGTTCTTCCGGTATTTGCAATCAATATATCCACAAATACAGAATAATAAAGTGATGTCTGTATCTAACAAAACGAGCACAGCACTGCGTTAAAGGTTAAGGTTAAGGTTGGTGGACTCAGTTTCCGCACTTAGACACATAATTGGTCCGTTGTGCCTTTAGTCCTGGCTAATTTAGCCATCCCAGCTCTTTCCAGAAGCACAGAAGTCTCCTGGGCACTTCACAGGCTTCACGGAGCGACCTCACTGTTCCGAGGAGCACAAAACTGCGGTTCCCAGCTATTTTTGATAGAAATCATTACTACGCTAATTCGATTGCACACAATTATTATTATCAATTGCACAATTTCATACATTTATATATGAAGTAATATGTTTTTCGTTATGAACGTGTATTCATGGCGGTTCAAATAGGGTGAAGGTAAAAAGATTATTAAAATTTATTGTATTGGCTTTATTTTTGTATTTCTATTAATTAAAATATAATTATTATAATAATGTAATGAAAGTTTTCTTTTTTGTGTTGTATATATATAAATAGTCGGTGCAAACAAATAAATAATGTATTATATATTTCTGTATAAAAAAAGCAAATTGTAGAATACATAAAGATTATGTAACACAATAAGTAAAAAATATTATTTTCAGTCGATCGGGACATAACATTCACTTTTTAATAAACCAATGATGCAATACAATGTTTGCATCAAATTAAAATTCTCTAATATTCTGTGGACGTAGGTTTTGCTTTTTTTATCTATACGCTGCAAGAATATTATCTGTGGAAGATAAAATATCAAGAGTAAAGTCCATACAATTTATAAAAGGCTTAAGTGATGTCCTCATTTTTAAATTTTTCGTGTTTGTTTTTCGCAATAACATGCATTTCAAGTGACGAGAGATAAAGTGTAAAGATATTTTTTTTAAATAATATAGCAGTTTACCTGCACCTAACCTAAGGTTGTGGAAGAAGAATGGTGATGCTCTTACTAAAGGAGGGATCCTGGTCCAGCCTAACCACTGACTGGCCGACCCGAAGGCCCTGGTGGTTAAGGTCGAGATGTTGTATAACGCGGTCAGGTCAACGGTTTTGGGTGTCATCGCACTGATTTTTAGCCGAAGATTGCATCAATCATACCTGGCTAATAAATGCCCGTTTGCGTTTTTGGATGATTGCCAAGTAAATCAAGCCGCTTTTAACGCCACACACTCTACACGCATTCTCTCTGTATATATTATTTTTTAGTCTGTTAAACCTTTTGGCAGACTGGTAGATATTCCGATAAATCGGCACAGACAGGGAGTTCCATTTCCTGTGCGGACGTAATTACTTACTTTCCATTCTCCAGATTTGGCCCCCAGCGACTTTTTTCTATTCTCAGACCTTAAGAGAAAGCTCGCTGGGCAGAAATTCTGCGTTAATGAAGAGGTAATCGCCGTAACGCCTATCTTAAGGCTAAAGATCGTACTATAAAAATGGTATCGAAAAATAGTATGACCGTTATAATCGTTGTATCGCTCTCGAAGGCGATACAACGATTATAACTATGTTAGCCTACGAACTTTTCAGTCTACCTGATAATTGGCCGAGGTCGCAACTCCATAACAAATACTTCTAATGACGCTACATGTAGTTTTTTAATAGCCGTAAGCGCTGATGTTTTATATTCTATATAAAACTGTCCAATCAGTTTAGTAGATTATAAACACATACAAACTTGTGTTTATGGTATTAATCATAAAAAATAACATTGCCAGTGTGTTCTTGACGCTACTTGATAGGTACTTACGATTACTGAATATAACAGCATTAAAGTTACATGGCAAGCCTTCAACGCCGATAATATAATGTTGATCATATCGAACTTGTTAACTGCGCAATACTTTCCTATGTAAATCGTTAATAACCTTTAATTTGTATAATGAAAATCACCTGAGATAATATAACAATAGGAATTATCTTTATATGAGCCTTGGAACATTGACATGGTTCTAAAGTATGCAATTATTATTAACGTCGTTAATAACTATAATTATGTCGCATTTAGACTATTAGCTTTAAGATATTTAACTTTGGGAGTTAAATAGCTCTCTCATTAATTATAAAGTTAAACAATTCCTGTTCTTATAGATATTCTTAAGGTACGATTTCATAAAAATAGCGTGCGGCAAATTTTTTTACAAACATTTGCAAAACAATAGCAGAACACGTACTAAGCGCGTATTGCGTTTTGCTTCCGTCTCCACCGGCAATGCTGTGTGTAGCTTTAGAGGATAGGTATCTGCATGCTTGCTACCTCACCTTATGTCACCTTGTCAGAAAGGGACATTGCGTGCTAACCAACCAACGCTAAAATGCATTAATAGGTCATCTTCAATTTATATGTTTTGCAAATTAAATCACCTTTTGATCGGCTTGAATATACTTGGTTTTAGTAATGGCAGCAGGTGATGGGAATTTGTTTCTTTCGACCCTCAATCTTTTAAAATAGTGATTTACTTGTATTAAATTTACAATTGCATGCTTTCATTACAGTTAGTAGGAAAGGAAGTTTTCAAAATCTATTAGATGATCTTTCCATTATGGCCTCGGTTCGAATCCCGTTGTAAGACAATCATTAAACAGTTCCTCTGTTTAATGATTCCAGCCCTAGGGCCTTTATGTACCGGATACTTAAATTAGTAGCCTAAAAACCGGTTTGTATATAATTTCTGCAACTTAATTTACATAACTTTCGCTTTGCATCCTAATTTGAAATATACATTTTATAAATTATGAGATCATCAACATGAAGAAGAATTGTCGAGGCCTAAAATAAAGAATCAGCGACAATATAATAATTTCATAGGTTTATCTCGAAAAAATAATGAAATTTTTTTTAAGTCCACAAAGCAATACGATTAAATTGAGACAACACGTATTGCTGCTAGGACTAAAAAGTGGAAAATAAATATAGTTTAAAAAAACTAAAAAAACACGCTTTTAAAGCACATCAAACTAAAGAGAGAAAAATAATTCCTAATTTAGGCTATCGAGCAACCCACGCTTTTTCACAATAATACCAGTATTTTTTGTTCATTACCATTTTCAGCCTAAATTAGGAATTATTTTTCACTTTTTAGTTTGATGTGCTTTAAAAGCGTGTTTTTTAGTTTTTTTAAACTATATTTATTATTATTTGTGCTCTGCGCCGTCGTGTCGTGATTAGTCGTTTATAAGTCGATTAACCTATTAATGTAACGTTTTTAGATTCAAGATGAATGCAGGTGTATAATTGTATAAATATAGTAAGCATGTTAATAGGGTTAGCGATGTAGAGAAGTGACAAAAAAGTTTAAAAAATTTAACGAATATTATATGAATATTAATTACGTCACCGACACCTTGGTGTTTGCCATAACCGGATCTTAAAACTCTATATAAATCTATATAAATAAATATATTTTCATTAAATACATTAACATCTCTAAGTAATACAAGACCAATCAATAGAATAAATGTTGTTATTTAATAATTTTGGAGTCGGTTCCATTTTTTTAAAGGAATGTGTGTATTAATAATAAATATACTCAATGCTTTCATAATGAATGCCTCGTTTTTTTACTAAAACAAAAATTCACTTAGTAGGTGAATGTTAGCAAATTAAGTAACGGTTTTAGCCAATCAAAATTATACAACGTGGTTATTGTACCAGATACATAACTGGCAAAATGTTTTCATATGTTACGTAAAACATGCCGAAATGGTACGGAGTATATAAAACACTCTTTATTTACTTTTGTGTCAACGAATCATCAATATAAATTACTCATTGCTTCATAATCGTTTATTTACTAAGATATTTAATTCTGAAGGTTTCTTTCATGTTCTTTTTTTTTTCTTTCCAGAATCCAAAATGGTGCAACGTACAGCAACACAGGTCACAGCACCGGACAAAGAAGATAGTATAGCAAATTTAATCGGACAATTTGGGAGATGGCAGTTCTTGGTGTTCGCAACTGTTTCCCTTGTTAAACTATCCTCGGGATGGGTTCAAATGGCAATACTTTTTCTAACCCCGAAGCTAACTTTTTGGTGTGTGGAATTCAGGAATAGTACAGCAAATTCAGCTCCTGTTGTGGAGAACTCCACTTGCTACGCCGATTGCTTAAAGTACGATTATGATGCATCTCCTTTTGATAATACAATTGTGTCGGAATGGGATCTTGTTTGTGAGAGAAGCTGGTTAGCTAGTTTCACGCAAATGGTCTTGCAACTGGGAATCCTTCTCGGAAGTATTGTTTTTGGATTTCTTTCTGACCGGTAAGTATAATAATTTTTGTACTGAGCCACGACAGTCATGAAAATATGTACAAGTAATTCTAATCTCTTCTGTTTATTCTGTTATAAAAATGTATCTATCCTTTGCAAGTCATATAAAAAATATGGAAGGGACTTAGGTATCATACTATCCTAATACATACATAGGTTTATATATACATAGAATTGAGTTCATTGCTATCTAGTCTAGGCTGCGCTCAATTTGGCCAATAATTAACATACTTTCTAGGTATGAAACCGAATCGAGGTTCCATATAGCATTTAAATTTGTGTCACAATGCAAAAGTTAAAATAAAATCTAAAGCGGGATCATAAGAATAATTAATAATTAATTGGGTTTAAATATTACTTTATCTCTTGGTCACAACAAATAAGTACAGTAGAACCTCGATAAGATAAAGTCCAAGGGAAACACAAAATATTTTATGTTATCGAGGTTTTAAGTTATCAAGGTTCTATGTCAGGTAAAGGCTAATATAGAGGTATGTACATGTTTCTATGTACCCTTCCTCCCATTTTTACTTGAATGCATCAGAAGGATGGAAAATTAAATATTTAATCATATTTATTCACATTACTTACCATTACATAAAAATAAAACAACAACTAAAGGTTTAGTCTACTTAAAAAAAACTGTGATTTTCTTTTGTTTTAAAAAATTCACTGTTTATAATCGATTTGATTTTCAATGACAAATAGAGAGGAGAATACATTAACACATTAACTTACGATGCAAGTAAGTCGTTGTCACAAAGCTAACCGCCGCAAAGCTTTGAAGAATTTAGATAAAGCAAACAATAGGTAATGTATTGTTTACGTTAACAATACATTAGTAAACACGTGCAAGCAATAAATACCGAAACCATTTGTTTTGACACTCTTATAAAATGACTCATTCACAAACAATTTTATGTTATAGAGGTTGTGGAAACATTTCTTTTAGTTATGAGGGCCTATACAGAGATTATTTATTTACGTTATAGAGATTGCGTATTTTAAGTATAGAGGTTTTGGGCTCTATGGGAAGGGAACATAGTATTTTTGAAGTAAAGAGGTTTTTATGTTACCGAGGTTTACGTTATCGAGGTTCTACTGTATAACACATTATTTATCTACATAATATATGGACGTTAAAAATAATCCTACAATGGGTCATTGTTGCCAGGAAAATTCACCTATTTAACATTCACGTCAAATATAACCTTAAATAATTTTCCTCTCCAGGTATGGCAGAAAGATTACCTTCCTTGTGTCCATCACGTTTCTAGTCCTGCTGGGATTTGCTATCCCTTTCGCACCAAATTATGCCACCTTCACTGTAATTCGTTTCTTCTGGGGAGTCGCAACGTCTGGAACTATGGTGGTCTCTTTCGTCATCGTAATGGAGACCATTGGATCAAACTACAGGGAGATGCTCGGATGCCTGTTCCAAATTCCGTTTATCATTGGTCATATGACGGTACCGCTCTTCGCGTATTACTTTAGAAGCTGGGATTCTTATAGTTTGGCTATGGCTGTACCACCACTGATCTATTTGATGTATTTTTTCTCTTTGACGGAATCTCCGAGATGGTTACTCAGTGTGGGAAGAGTAGATGAAGCTGCCAAAATTGTGAAGAAAGCAGCTGAATTGTAAGTAGACCAGAATTCTACACGGGCACTTTTTATTTATTAAATACCAAACACAATTAATTTCAAATATATTATTTAAAACTTGAATTGAAAAGAAAATTCAATCCATTTTGTTAATAAATAGATTCTTGTTGTCGTGATGTGTTAGCATTGCTGCTAAATTTTCGTTCCAACAATAACCTAAAAAACAGTATTAAATAATTTTATCAAACTATTTCAGCAACGGTCTACCAACAACTAAAATTGATGAGACCCTAAAGCAGCTATCAGACGACATCCGTTCTAAATCACAGGAAGGCCGTGCAAACTATACAGATCTTTTGGGACCAGCTCTCCTAGTGAAGACCGTCTGCTGCTGCGTCATGTGGACTATTGTGGGTTTAACCTTTTATGGATTTAACCAGTACATCAGTCAGACTAGCCCGGATCCTTTTGTGACTGTGGCAGCGGCGGGGGCCATACAGGTACGATCAAATTATATACCCGAACCATTTAATTCTCGATATTGCTTTATCTATGTATATACTATATAATTATGTATAAATATAACTGGGAAGTCACATGCTCCTGAAATACAAATCTCTCTACATGAGCAGCCTGGGATACGTGTTGGTGATGTAACCTGTTTTTGGCAATAAATATTTTTTTATTATTTATAAATAATATTGGAATTAAACATTTTGGTCCATGGTCTTGTTCAGAAATAGCATTTATTAATCTGATTAAATTGTAATCAAGTTAACCAAAATAGTACATATACATCTCCTTTCAACAAAAAAAAATAGTCTAAATGCACGATTTTAACTTCATATATTATTTGTCTCTTTTCATCATAGGGTAAACAGATAGATATGATAGAGTGCTCTAACAAGTCTACTCTTCTACTATAAAAAAATATATACGCTTTTATCTATTTATAAACAGTATATGCGCATAATAATTAATAATCCCAAATACCTAATGCATATCAAGTTATACCTCTCAAATTCAACACAAAACTCGTTTGGCGCCTTGAACGTTACAGGAAAACAAGTTCAATTACCGAAACTCACTATGCAATTATGAGATCATTAAAAATAATTTTGTTAATTATGAATAATCGTAATAATTATATTGAAACTTATTGAATAAGTTGAGTTATCCTGTTGGGTAAGATTCTAAGTCGTGACTTAACGCTAAGTACGTCAGAAACATTTGAATTTGACATACTGGTGCCATCCTAAGTGCTAAGTCTAGATTCCGAATCTTACACCTACATATTGCCATGCCTATACATCTTCAGCACGTAGTATTGTGAAACCTATATAAAAATGCGAGCTCAAAAAAGCCTATGGCTGCCTTTTGAATAGTATTCGTATATTAAACTAAACAAAACGTATTCGTGTTGACAACATCTACGGATTTGACGTTTCGTCAGTTTCAGTTCGTTAGTCAACAACATCTCCTATTAATTATTATATACTATCATATAATAATTATTTTTAATGTTTTCAGATTCCATCCAACATTATATCTATATGGCTGATCAAGCGCTTTGGGAGGAAACTAACTATCGCCATAACATTTATCCTCGGCGGCATATGTGTTTTACTCTTGGGCGTAGTTCCTAAAACCTACGCGATTACACTCACCCTTGGCACTTTAGGAGTCAGCTGCACAGCTATAGTAGCCGCCTCTATCTATATCTACACCTCAGAATTGTTCCCTACAGTCGTACGAAATATGTCAATGGGAGCATGTTCTATGTGCATGAGAATAGGGTCCATGATTGCTCCGTTTATTTCTAATTTGGCGTTGACAGTTCCTTGGTTACCGACTGTGGTGTTTGGCTTTGCGGCTATAGCTGCTAGCGTAATGTGCTTGTTCTTGCCAGAGACAAAAGGTACTACGTTACCGGATAGTTTAGAAGATGTTAGCAAATAGTCGAATATAATGCTAATATGCGTTAAACGAAGGTCCTGCTGTGTCTGTTAGTATTGTTTCGGTTCGGTTGTTTACACGAAGTGAATAACAAAGTTATGGATAAAAAATGTCTCACCAATACAGGAAATTAAACTTGTTTAGAAAGATACGAGGAAAAGCAATATGTTAATGATTTTAACATATTTTAATAGGTTTGTGAATTGTGATATTATTATTAAGATTAAACCATAAACGATTATTTTTTGTAGTATTCTTACTGCCTATCTTTACTTTCGATATGAGCCATCTATGCACCGTTGAAAATAATAAAAACAAGGATGCACACATACACAATGTATTACACTTAACGACAGATGTCGCTGTCCAAAGTAAATCGTATGTTCATTGTGCATTTACGAAAGCTTTTTGTATTAGACTAAAATATCTTAAAATTTAAGGCACAAAGTTGTGGCTTAGCCATCCAGTAAACACATATTTGCCCTATGGGAGTATACACTCCCATGCCTTAAATGCCTTGGCTATACCCGTATGGGTATTTAAGGCATCTATATTGTATAAAAATTATAGACATTTAAAACAAACACTTTATTGGAATGTAATACACATATCATTTACAACAATTTATATTAGTTTAAATAGAAGGAATTAAATACAAAAAAGCCCTATAATTAATAATCTATTAAATATTATATTAATCACTCTTTTAGTTGTTATTAATTATCATATTAATTAATAAAAACGGTTTGTAGCAAAGAAGTTTACACAGATGTCATATTTTTATTACACCCTTTTCAAATGTATTAAATTTAACACATTGTGTTTGAATAGGTATACCAAATGGAAAGCTATATATTTTTTACAATGAAATCTATATAGTATCATTAGGCAAAACATTAATTACCTAAAATAATAACATAAATATTTTTGTACAAAAGACTTAAAACAAATATAATTGGTAGTTAAATTTAATTATTATAATTTTTATTATAAGAATGGTGAAATGCATCAAGCGTTAAATTATATTTTTATTTTTCTTTTAAGTTATATTAAGTACCTACTAGAAAAACTAGATATAGAAAATATCAATGTAACCCGATTGGAATATAAAACCCATTAATTTTTGTTCACAAAAGCTATATTTATATGTCAAATAATGATTTAAAAAATGGAAAGTAAGCACCGCAAGCGTGCCGCAAGTGTGAACCTCCACATGGTTTTATTATTTTTTTTAAAATAGATTTTGCAGATGAGGGCAATTAAATGGTGAGAGCCAAAATTATAAAAACCGAATAAAGGCTCTAGTAGCTGTGTCTATTCCGCAGTTGAAATAATTGGCTGTCTGAAAGCTAGTCTTACTCTATCAGCATTTATATTCTAAATTTCTTGGCAAAATTTTATTCAAGCACTCCCCTGTTCCAGGAACCCGTTCATCAATTATTTGAATATTAAATTGAAAACTAACTTAAATCAAGTATTTACGTTTCCAATAAATAATCCGATATTAAATTCAATTGACTTTTCAAAGATTTTAGCCAAATAATCTCTCCTACTTAAGATCCATCTCTTCCCCGAGAAGATCTTCGCACTCTTTCTCCCACTTATCATCGCCAGACTTTTCAGCAACAACCTCATATTCCTTTAATTCAGCCTCCAATTCTTTTTCCCACTGCTCTGAAATGCCACAAAAAATGTATATACGAAAAACACAATTAAAAAATAAAATTGATTTTTACTACCTTTAAAGAGTTACTTTGTCTTCTTCTCCCAAAAATGTCAAGAAATAATACGACCAATTATTTTAGAATAATATAATTATTTCAATTCATAATAACTAACTATAAATGCCGTTAACTATAATATTATATTTCACTAAACATTTTTCAAGTATTGACAATAGAAAGTGTAACATCTATACTGTCGCTATGTAGACAACGGAATGAACTTATAAAATAGTTTAATAATACTGATAAAGGACGAAATATTAGCTAAAGTATCAAGACTTGTCGATTAAAACATTTACAAAAATCAATTTATAGTAGCGACAGAAAAGAATCTAGGCCTGTACGTTATCACCTGTCCCCACTTCGACCAACTACTCTACGAAACATTTCAAGTACAGGGTCTCGCTAACAGAGGATCAATGTTGTCAGCTCTCAAAATCCTAAGAAACGGCAGTTAGTGTGAATTTAATTGACTGTCACACATAAGTGATATGTCGCGGCTATTAAGAACCACTAGCTCAAAATGTTTAATGATTTGACAAGTTTGAAAACCCTTAATAGAATATAAATCTGACAACATTAAGTTTCAACATTGCTACGAACCAACTTTGAGACTCGAAGCGTGTAAATAAACCGGGACCAAGCGCTATGCAACGGTATAGGTCGGTTATCGAAAGCTGGCGCGTTCACAGTACTCACACTAATGCAATTTCACTACACAGTATGTTTAAAAATATGACTTTTGCCAAGCTATATTTTTTAATCTACTCTGGTTTTAGTAAGGTTAGGTGGGTTGTAAATAAATAAAAATGTGTCAAATACATATAAATATTATGTGCATACGAGGGTGGATCCAAAAGTTCTAAGCCCGACCAAGAACGTAAAAGAGTAGTTTGTGTAAATAATTTTTCATTTTTCGACATAACCTCCATCTAGCTCAACACACTTCACTTTTACTTCACTAACAATTCTTTCAATACTCCTCTTAGAAACCCCAGTCGCATCTGATGTCAAATTAAAAATTACATTTTTTCATTAAACTGTTTTTATTAAGATGCTTAAAATAATTAAAAACATTGTGCACCATTTCACGAGATTGTCCTCGTAATGTTTAGTCGGAATATATTTCATAAGACATTTTTTTCAAAGTATTCTAACCTCCAACCAAATAACTAAACAATCACAGACAAAATAATAATGAGAAAAAAGATCAACATGTACAGTAAGTATCTGTTATTCAGTTTGACATAACGCCTCGCGCTTATTCACAGACACTACACAAGCACAAAGTGTAAATGTGTTGAAGCCGCCAGCTTTAGATAACATACCAATAGCAATGTTAAAACCGAAGTACAATAAGTGACGTCACTATACTTATACACATATATAACATTCAGTTTACAAGTTCCATCATATTGATATTGCCTCTAAGAAATTACCTCAATAGAGACAGAGACTACTAAGTTAACTATTAAGATTTAACTTTAGTATGTCTTAAGCCTGTGATGAAAGCTAAAATTTGAAACAGTGAATTTATATGAACACTTATATACATTCATATAAGGACAAGAAGCTATATTGTCATATATTAACATCAACACACGATACGTCAACAAGGATGAGACATGATGAATTCGTTAAATTATAGAACAGCGATATAATTTTAATACAAATAACGTTAAAATAATGAGATCCAACAGCATTAATGTGATAAAGCCAAAAATATTAAAGCATTGAGCAGATTTCTTCAAACTAGCTTCGTCTACTACTGGCAAAGTAAAAGGAAAATATGGATCTCCTGAATGGGTGACTAGACAGCTGTTCCGTGACGCAAGCTGTTAGATTTTGTCTATCAAATATTATATATAATAGACGAATGTTTAAATTTTAGGAAAGTATTTTTTTTATTAAAAAGTCCACCATCACAAATTTAGGTTTTAATTTTTAATGTTACACAGATTCGGCATTATCACATTAATATGAAAACACAGAAGAGAAGTACACACTCCATACACCGCGATGCTACAAACATAACTACATGAACTCTTATGAATAAAGTATTGTATCGGCCGGGGTATGGGCCATGAGAAAGTAGGGCTACCATGGTATTTTAACAATCCGCTGTCCGTCGTTTAAGCTGCATTCCGAAAACGAAAAAACACATTAAAATCAATGCTATTATTCTCAAAGTTGGTTGTAGTCAATGAATTTTCAAAAACTATTAAAAAATGAAGACAAAATAACTCTAGCGAAAATTACTAAAATAAAGATAAATGTGAAATAAAATTGTAATTTAAAAACAAATATATTACTGTACAAAAGTGCACACTAACTTTCAAACTGCTGAACAGATTTTAGTGAATTTTGGCCTGAGAGATTTTTTAAGGAACAAATTGTTAGTGACTCTTTCAAGCAATCGTTTTTATTTGTAAGGATTCTATATCTAATATACCAGTACTTCCAAATCGTATTTTGTAAAGATAATTATTTTCCATACAAAATCAACGACTCGTATAGGCAGCGGCACGTAAGTCTAGCGCTGGCCGATACGTGGAGGGGATTGCTGCGCATGTGTCGTATCGGTGCGGGGACGGAATGCGACTGGAGAGCCAATCGACGCTCTTCATTCCGCTAGCCCCCCTCAGGTACCTTATTTTTTACTTCTGCGCAATAACGGTCAGCGCTAGAGTTTCGTGCCGCTACTTGTAACTAGTATATTGTATATAAAACCGGTTAGCCGTTCAAAATCTTACCATCATCTCTATCGACTTTCAAAGATTTAATTCTTTTCTTGACGTCATCAATCGATTGACTCTCTTTCTCTATTAGATCCTCGCTTGCCGATTTACTGTCTAATGGTGAAATAAAAACAAAAGAACATAAAAAATCTAGCAAATGGTGAAATAAAAAATGCTCTAAATACAATAAATCCAAGCAATTTAAAATAAGATCAGAACTAAAAGGCAGACACATATTTTGTATTAAATCCTTTGTAATGAAAATAAATTTTTCAACTAAAACAATTTATCAGGAATTTACACATTAAGCTTTAAAATAATTAATTGAAGTTATGTATATATTAGTTATGTGTAAATTTACAATTATTTTACATAATTTTATTTTTTTTTCGGAAAAACATACACATTACATACTTCGATCCGGTAAAAAGTGTTTTCTTTAAATGTGTAAAAGTTATGTCAATAAAACACAATAAAATATAATTTATCACCCATTTGGTACAGACATTTCAAAAGATTATAGAAACAGACAGAAATGTGCTGCCTCACTTTAAGGTTTTATAATTACTGTTATGGATCTATTACGAATCAGGTAATTACCAAATTACCAGACGTAATTGTTAGGAATTCTTGAAAATTAGCATTTTTAGGGGCCTCATAGACTAGCGGTCTTATTAAGTGGCAGCTAGGTGAGGGGTACCGGGTTCGATTCCCCCGGTTCGAGGGCAAGTTTTAATTTAATTTAAAATTTGTTCTCGGCCTTTGGGAGGGTTGTGCGGTACTGCTTATACTGTACATGGAGGACACGGTCGAATTTGAAAAATCCTATACTTGACGCTAGCTAATGCACAAATCGTGTCAGAGCCATAAAAAAAAATAGCATTTTAGTCAAATTTAATATTTAGTTAAATATTTTAATAGACAAAGTTTTTTAAGAATAATATTCTATACGTTCCATATGTATTTTTCTTAAACAACGACTCGTAGCAATTACGATTGGTATATTGATAAGAAGATTGGGAAATTAGATAATATAAAACGGATACTCACCCTGCGAGTCGTCAGCGCTAGACTGGCGAGCGACTGCGTCAGCCTCGTTGGCCTGACAGATGAGGGACACGCGGTAGAAATAGTTCCGCCAGAAGTTCTCCTCTGTTATACTGGAATGTTATGTACTTCTTTAGAAGTTGTCTATTTATATATGTTGAACAATTCATAAGACTCTTGACGCCACTCGAATCTCCTACTCCAAGTGAAAATTTCCAAGATCATTGTTCCGTTTTTAACTATTATTTATTCATATCATACCAATCGTTTGAATAATTTCACTTAAATCCTTTCCATTAAAAACGTCGATAATTACAACAAAGCTTGTGAGACGCGTGTGTTCTTAGTGATATCAAAATTATTCTACATTTTTACAAAGATGTAATCAAATATACTTAATATAATTATTTTTTTCCTAAATATTAAAAAAAAAACATACATTTTTCAGATTTGTTCCATACTTACACTTTAGGTACCAGGTCGAAACGCATTTTCTCAAGGTTGGGATCCTCCGCCATGATAGCTACGGCCACTGGGTACATTTTGTCGTAGTCAAAGTCGAACTCTACACCCGCCGGTGGGGCGCGCACGAAGTTCCGTCGGTCCTGCATTAATTATTCGTAAATCCAATAACTCCTTTTCAAATCCTTTGGTAAAGCTCTTGATATATTAGTTAGACCCACAGGGCCAGGCATTTTCAATCCTTTCCGAGAATTTCGGTTTGGAAAGTATATTACTATAACCATACGGCCATATGTTATTTTTCTACAATTGACTATTCGATGGGTACAAAATATCGCATAAGATTATATCTTCTTGATCAGCCCAACAAAAAAACAAAGTAAAATAGACTCTGTCTGGAGTTCAGAACACGTAGAAATGGATTTGCTTCATTCTTGATAAAAGTAAAGTTCAAATAGAGCTTAGAGTTTCGTTTTAAATAGACAAAAAAGCAGATAAACCTAGTAAGCCATTTTTTTAGCCCATTATAGCCGCTTTTTATGTAGCATAAGAAGAGAACATAGCTGCTTATCGTCTATCTAGAGTCAAGGGCAGTGGCAGTTATTACACATGAGAGAAATTTAGAAATGTGTTGCTTATTTAGTTCAATACTTACAGTTGAAAGTGACACGCACTCCTCTTTAAGCGAAGCCTCATTGGGAGCGCCAATCCATGGAGCAGTTGCAGCACCCCCTTCCTTCTCTTGGCCTTTGATGAACGCGTCCTGTTCGCGGTTGAACTCGCCAAGAATGCTCTGAAAATTGTTTATGGTATATCAGCAAAGAACAGAACCATCTACCAATAGCGATTTTTAACGGTAGTGGAGTAAGTCCAAACAAGTGTAGAACTTCCACGACCTCAATCCGTAATTCCATTTGACCAATAACAATTATGTTCTCTTTCAAAAAGTTTTGGAAAAAACCTTTTTAAAGACACATTCTCTGTGATCTATAATAAATGCTTGTCTATGATACCGTAAATCAATGATACGAAAACATCAACGTAAATTGTCATAACACAATCTTAATTAATTATACCTTAATTATACAAAGTTACGCAAAGTAATTATCGCGTTTTGCACAAGACACTTCAACATTTGCTTCGTTAAATGGTACAGACGACTTTAACGACGCAACTTTCTTTTTGAGGTAAATTATTTATGTGTTACTTAAATTAATGATGGAAATATTGGCGAAATAGACATTTTATTTTAATACTACGGTACATCTGCAAATTGAGGAAGTTAACAAGTTTCTCTTTGAAGTAATTACTATTTTATTATTCAGGTCGAAATTCACAGAACCAGTGATGGCCAAGTAGCTAGACTAAATGTGCCTCTCAAATTCCGGGTCGTGAGTTCAAATTCCGGCTGTGCGCCAAAAATTGCGCGAAGTTCAATGTAGCAGCGGCGACTTTTTTTCTTGTTTATTTCACTATTAACTAATATAACAAACAGTAGTTGAAAAACTTTTATTTTGAGCTACGGGAATCCCCAACCCTTAGCATTTCCAGACCTCGGGCGAAACAGAAGGAAACCATCGAACTCTAGGTCACCTGTTTACCGAACCAAAACACCCGGGAGGGGGTACTCGACCCCAACGAAAGCAGTATAAAAGCTTTTCATAAATTTAAAATTAAGGATAATTAAATAAACTGACAGACCTGCGACACCACTTTAAAGTTTATTCGTAGGCGTCGGTCAATATACTTTGTCGCTTTCTGAACGAGTTTCTTCATTACGCTTTCTGAATAAATAATTACCTTACAGCTAGCATTTAAATTGACCCTTGTTAAATTGTAATTCAGTTTTTTTGTTTAAATTCTTTGTACCACTTTTGGTCTATAAATAAATAATTAAAATTGCGGACGTAGTACTAAAATTAATCTCAGTGACGCATGAGAAACTTTCCTTGCTTCTAAATAAATTCGAACATTTTTTTTTCTACCTAAAATGAAACCTACGTACCGTCTAAAAAGTAAGATTAAATGACTGACGCAATCGCTTTATACTGCAATAAAACAAACGCATACTTTAAAGCAAATTCTTTATCCATTGTTAACATAAATTATTTCCGCTGGCCCTTAGCGCCATTACAACGCTCGCTAATGAATAAAACGCTATAATTCATATTAATGTCTTAATATTTCATAGCTGTGCTAATGAAAAGATATTGCAGCTTCTATGGCTCTCATTTTGCGATAAAATTAATTAATAGTGGCAAACTAGAATGGCTTAAAGATAATATTATCATAAATTCTTCCAGTCACTTAAGCCACAAGTTGCGAAATCCATGTGTTCGCATTCCTGCAAAAAAAATTGTTCCCCTTTTTATTCAGATTCAGATGAATGTCTATCTTATTATTTTGGGGAATCGTATAGGGATTCCAAATAAATAGTTTTCTTTTTACTTTTCAACTGAAATCAACACTAGGACTAAGATTTACACATAAACGACGTAGATACACGGTCGATTATTTATAAAATGAGTCTAGTATTAATAAACACACAATGATTCGTATATTTTAATTATAATTCGTAAATGTTAAATGAGAAAAAAGCTATTTTACAGGTAAAGCTATTTTACAGGTAAAGCTAACATTATCAAACAGGGAATTCAGAGTGTAATCAAAGGTGATAATCACATCAATTGAATTGGAAGGGACCCTGAGGAAGCATTGATTTCCTAATCTTATTTACCCCGAAAGATTAATCATTAGATGGCTTACCGACTTTGTCGCAATCGAAGCGTAACAAATATTACAAATTTAATGTAACAGATAAAACTATTATATAATAATAATTATATTTATTTAAACTGACAATCATAAGTCTATATGGTTATTATTTAGTTACATTATTGTGATAAATAGCTTAGCTTTAAGGTATTCAATCATAAAAATAAAAATAAATTATAAGATAACCTCCCCCACATACAGTTATTTTTTTTACCATTTAGGCATTTTTACAAGCAGGCCATTGCCTTTTGTTTAAAACGGCACGTATGATTATTACTACATACTATTGTTATAGCAAGAAGTATGTATGTAATTTGTCTCTTGAATGTACTAATCGATAGTTTTATATAGAAAAAGGGAAATTGGGAAAACAGGATACATGATGTTAAGTGACACTCGACCTGGATACTGAGAGTGTGTTTGCGAGTGCTACGTTAGCCGAAACTGCTATTTTGTTATTGATACTCCAAACCGATAGGACAACGTCATTACGTCTCTTTTAGACAGAGCATCCACACGAGGTACGCAGACACAAGTGCCTGACAGGCATCTGACATGGAGCAGGGCGGAGAGCTTTACGAGCTCGCTAGAAGAAATCGCAAAGGCTATTTAAAATATTGGGCTTTTGGCAAGCGGAATACGTACTAGGGTTTAGTATCAAAATACAAAATACGAGATAAAACTAAATAGCTGATATCCTTAGAGGATAAATAAATAAGAAAATGATACAAATATTCGTCGAATTTTTCACTTGATATCCCCAGCGGTTTGTATGTTAGGTCAACCGTGCAATTCAAGAGACAGCAAATTGCTCTGTACGGGAAAACGTTTGTGAAACACTAAACATGATTTTCAAAGAGAATCGCAAATTTTATATTATTTTTAGCTTATGTATGCTAAATGTGCTGAATATTTCAACGAGAAAATATAAGACGGTGCAAAATGTTGTCGTGATTTAAATTCTCATTACATATAATCATTTCTAAGACATTTATTTACGAAAAAGTATTTTTATTTAGGACGACTCCACAGTAATTTAAATACATTATATATTAACAAAGTATCCTGGCTTATTTATTAGCGTTGAGCCTACGAGTCCTACGGGACTTGGAAACATGAAACTTTGAAAGTAACAATATGTGTCGATGAAAGGATTTTTGAAAATAAGCAATTTAAGATTATTTGAAAATTGTATTGTATTGTATTGTAAATTATAAACTTAAACACGTAATGCCTGTAAATATCTTACGTCTTGTAAACGTGAATATCCACGTTTCCTTGCTCACTGAATTTGAATATTATTAATAAATAAGTCTAATGGACGCCGAAGCAGTGTTGGCCTAGTGGCTTCAGCGTGTGATTCCCATCGTGGCAGTTCGATCCCTGGCAATGGACTTTCTGTAATACGGTTCTAACATTCGCTCGTATGTTGCACACTGTCAAGTAACCGGCATGTCTCAAATCCAAAATCGACGACAAAAGGCTGATTCCATACTTGACTATGAAAAAAAATATCAAAGAAACGTATGCAATCTGAGGCCAAGACCCGTGTAGTTGTTGACTCGTGTACCACTGGATTTTTATCATAAATGTAAGCCGAAATAATAACGCCACATCGAACCTTTACGAAGAACTTTTTTAGCAAAAAACTTTTTACGAAGTACTTTTTTAAGAATTGTACCTTTACACGCAGTGTGTTAACGCCTATACATAATTAAGTTAATAATGTTTTTAGGAAAGGGGAGATTTCGACACTCCCCAGCTAAGCTACTCTGTCACATATCTACCTGATTGCGTGACTAGTGATAGGCTATGATGTAGGGGCCACTGTTTATAAAAAAAAACACCTATACAAAGTTATACAGTCTATGAACTTAGTAAATTAATATAGTAATAATATTAGTAAATATATAATTTAAACGGTACAACGGTAGCACATTCATAGCACTAGTTGTACAAATACTGCCCTATAAATTAGCGAAAGCCGCTCAACCTTTATCGATATCGCCATAATCCGGTGATAGATGCTGACACGGACCCTAAGGCCAAAGGTCATTACAAACACGTCACCTAATCCATCACACATACATTACCTAAGCTTATTTTGATGGCCAATTACATAAGGATTATTCACACTCAAATTACGTTAATACCCGTTTAGGTGTTATTTAAACACAATCACGTAAACCACAGACAAAATCTGGTTATTTTTATTCCAAAAAAAATATCACACTTAATATAAAACTGTTTTTTTATATTAAGTGTGATAGTGAGTTATAGAAATGTGCAATTATTTGTACACATTTCAAGAACTCTTTTGTTTCTTTCTGTCAAATCATATTTACGCTGTGATGAAAAGAGACAGACTATTTTAATTTTTAATATGGAGGTAGATCTTCCAAGTATCTCATTTCAGCATGGCGTAAACACAATTTGAAAGAAAGAGACGAACACCTTTAATCAGTTTGATTACTAATATGACATGTCCTCTTAGTCCTTTCTTAGACCTCTCTTTCACGATCTCGTAGCTTAACACCGATATTAAAATAATTTACTAATTTAATAATCACCGTGGATGTGGCCTGAGAAGTGGCCGAGGAAAGTCTACTAAGTCGGATATATTTTTGTTAAAGTTTTATTTGACTTAGTTTTTAATTACTTTCTTTTAGATTTGTTCTGTCTTCAATAGTTTCCACATGCGATGACATTTTTTTCGATAATTTTTTTCACACCTTGGGTTATATCATTGCATTTTTAATAAGGATTCCAATTTTTTGAAAATGTAATGTAGTCTATGTTAGAGAAGATGCAGCTTTTTAATTGTGAAAGAATTTTTGAATTAGGTCCAATAGTTTTTGTGTGAAAACATTACAAACATACATACAAAAACACAAATACTCTTTAATATAACATAGCATACACAGAAAAGCTTACCTCTCAACGAGAAAAATCCTCATAAAAATATTCTACAAACAATTTCTCTACAATGAAACAAATCTCTTAACGTGCCAAGCGAAACACATTAGTTTCCAACATTTCTGTGAATTAAATTTCCCGTCTATTGTTACTACTTCCTGATGCTGAAGCTACTATCACCCTTTTCACATCGTATTCAGCTTTCATTCCGTTTATTTTTACACTTAGCACGCTTTTTATTGCAGCACTTTAGTTCTTTTACAATTCTTTTGCTTAATAAAAAATTGCTTAAAAAGCGTACCAATTCTTAAAAGGCAACACACTAGCGTGCCTTCTGTAATAATAATATGAAGTTCTGTTATAAATTTATTGACCACATTATCTATGATATGATTATGATAATAGGAATAATGTGGGACGGAATGAAGCGACTTCGGTAGTACATATAAACCGTGTATATTTGGAGCAATAAAATTAGTGTATTACCATCTCTTTCATATAGTATAGTAAAGGTAAAAACATTTATATATGAAATTAGAAATTATATACGTAACTTATATGGAAAATAATTCTATATAATACATATATACCATAGGCGCTACAACCTTTTAGGCGTGACCTCAGATTTCTGTATCTGTTCCGTGATCGTTTCTAATCACACGCCGTCGACTTTTTGGATCTAAGGCATGCCCGGTTTCCTCACGATGTTTTCCTTCACCGTACGAGCCAGTGCATGCGCACATAGACAAAGTCCACTGGTGCACAGCAGGGGATCGAACCTACGACCTTAGGAGTCACATGCTGAAGTCACTAGGCCAATAACGGTCAAAAAAGCAAAAAATAAAAGGAATTGTATTATGCAAATAATGTCACTGTCTGCTACTGCAAAAGATAATCCGACGTTTTAACAAGATTATGTTTGAATCGAATTAATGAAATCCAAATCCTTTCCATTTTTTCACTTAGTTTTCTCAGTCTGTCTCTACATTATTTCATTTGTAAATGATTATCGGCGTTATTTACTAAAGCTAGTTTAATCTTTACGTAGTTCATCTAAGGTCTAATACCTACGTACGCACAAGGCA